CATCTCATCACCATTATCCTATATCATTTCTATATCCTATATTTTTGCTACCCGTGGCCGAATTTAAAGAATTTAAGCGGCGGCTTAAATTTAAGCCGCGGCTCAAATTTAGTTGGTTTCACTTAAAATTGTATTCAATGTTTCAAGATTTAAGCCAGTGCTTAATTGAAACCGGTTTTTGGCGGATTTAAGACCCGGCTCAAATTCATTAAATTCGGACATCGATTACTTAAACTTTAGATATTTTAAACTATGAACTCTATGAACTCTATGTTAGATCAAATAATTAAATAAAAATTAATAAAATATCAAAGGTTTACATTTTCCGGTTGCAAAGGTTAGTGATTTAAAAATTTAAGTTTGTGGCATGAACTCAATTCCTTTGTTTCCCTCCTAGGTGATAATGTGATACGGTGCTGTGGTAATCATGGATTTATGACCCTGGCCACTTGTCCAGGTTAGCATAAGGTCACGGTGGACTAGGGTCAATTTGAATTCGAACCAGAGCGACCCCTTGTAACAGCCTTAGTGACGCGCAGTAAGTACCGCCTCGCCCGGCTATCCTATATTGGCGTGGTTTTAAATTTGATGGCACGGCCAGACTTTTTACAGCATCCAGCCTATCATATCATCTAGGTAACAAACGAAAAACTGTTGATTTCAAATACAGGGTGTCCCACGAAACATGACAGTTGGTAAATAATTTTTAATGTCGTCTTCCATACACTGTATTCGATATTAAAGACGTTATGCAGATTATTTCGTCTATGGTATTAATAACTTAACAGATGATGTTTTTGACAACAACCTCTGTATTTTCTGAAATTTGAACCTCAAACCCTTTTATTAGATAGAAGTACAATAGTCTAGCTCAGTTGTTCAAGATCTTGTCAGCAGGGCACGTTTCTTTCCAAAACTACAATGGACTATGCAGATGACATGACTGTTTACGTCCTGATTATCTATCAATCGTATTTGAGAGATCTAGCGGCCAAACTATCGTCCCCCAAAGTGCGTCAATACAAGAAATGTACTCAGCATTGAGAACTTTGTTTATACATGCTATTTATTTCCAGGGGGACGAAAAGACGAGTTGGTGAAAGAGGAGTACAATGGAGGTTTGGACAGAAATAGGCATAAACTTGAGGCACTATAGGATTTCCAGCCAAATGTGGAAATCATTTCGAGAAAATTTCGCATTTTTTTGCAAAACCTTCGCGAAAATGCATTTTTTGCAAAACAGATTAATGCGAATTTGAACAAAGCTAAAATTTTTGCAATCTTTCACGATATTGTTGGAGATTTTTTTCAACAAAATTCCGCATCGTTTTCGCTTCCTTTCGCTAAATTAATTATCCGAAAAAATTTTAAACTTCGCCAAAAAGTTTGCGAAAGACGAAAGAAAATTTCGCATTTTCGCTGGAAACCCGGAGGCAAAACCAATCGTTCGTTTACAAATGATTTGAAAAAACCAACAGATTTAAAATTTACAAAGTGCAGTGATATACAGGGTGTCCCACGAAACGTGACAGTTGGTAAATAATTTGGAATGTCTTCTTCCCTATATACTGTAAGAGAAATTAAAGCATTTTTGCATTTTTATCGTTCAATAAAATCTTTTACTAAAATATATTTTACTTTTAAATCAATTTTACTATAATATGACTACCATTAAATATTCCTTTAATTCTCTTTAGTGTTAAACAACTTAAGTAATTATGGAAGAAGGCATTTTAACATTATTCACCAACTGTCATGTTTCGTGGGACACCCTGTAGTAAAAGTAAATTTTTAAAGATTAATATTTGAAATATGTTACACTTCTCAGATTTATGTGGAGTCTGATCCAAAAAGCTCAGAAATCCGGAATGTTTGAAAAACGAATATATTAACAATACTCGACTTTATTTAGCACTGTTTTAAACATTTTCAACTGAACTATTTGGAAAAGGATCGAATATTGATCTCCATTCCTCTTTAATATCCTATGGTGGTCATATCCTGCAAAGATAATTTAATTGAGGGATCAAGCATTTTATCTGAAGTTTAAAAGTGCCCACATTAGATAATTGGATACCTGTCAACTATTTAGCTGGACTTGTGTAGTTTCTGCAAAATACAGGGTGTCCCAATAAACTTTGGAATTCAGTGACGAATTCAATATCGTCTTTTTAAATAATTGTTTGATTTAGTATAGTTATACCTACTGAGAAAGCTGTAAACTGTAAGAGTTTCGTCTGCTATGTTCACATTTTGTTTGTTTATGTTTTGACCGCATACGGTTGTACTTAGCAAAACAAGAAAATTGCAGTATACAAGGAGAGTAAACTTGTCCGTCTTCACTGTTCATCTTGCGAAGACATTACAGACACATCTTTACAGTCTTTTACCCTTTTCATAAAATAAACTCTAGCAGACATAATAATATTATGGCTTTTAAAATTAGGTATTACATTCCTAATTCATAACAAAGACGATATCCAATTCGTCACTGAATTCCCATGTTTTCTGGGACACCCTGTACATTATTAAACTATTAGCGTACATTATCACCAGCTTTACTCAGTAAAACCTTTATGTTAAGTACCAGTGTGTGTCCTGCATGATGCTGATAAGAGACGGCATGAGCTGAATATATCTTCAATACAGAACTCCTTCTGTCCTGATCACTGTCATCTGCAACACTTTAAAGGAATCAGATTTAATAACTCAACCAAAAAAGTTTGATTTGTAATAGTTAATATTTTACGTAATTCAATACATGAAAGAAACACTTAAGCCTCAAACTCTGCCATCATAATTTTTAGGGATTTCTTACAATGGTAGGCGATTTTATCAGTACAATGAAGACGACTTTCGATTTGAATTTTGATTAATATTAAGGTTTTAAACAGCATGGATAAAAATAAACATAGATGTCAAGAGAAGCTGTCAATTTAAAAAGCTTCTTTTTGAATATTGAATATTGAGTAGACGGGTAGAGAGGGAGGGCGGAGGGTGTAAAGTCTAATAAGGATATGAATAATAAACACTCAAGATAATTTTCAAATTTTTTAAAATGTTGTAGATTTCTTTGCATAAAATAATATCCAAATTTAAAGTTTATGATAAAATGAATTTATGTAGGTTTTTATGACATAAAAAGCAATTTACATTTTCAAAAATGTTAATTATTTAATTGGGTCTCCGATGAAAACTTTGGTGTCTCCGTTGACAATGTTGGGGTCTCCGGTATGGTAGCGGCTGGGGTCTCCGGTGGGACGGGGTCTCCGGTACCACTCTGATGATGCTGCTTTCTTCTTACACTCTTAAAGAGGCTTCAAGTTATCCTTCTGTTTTGGACTTCTTTTTAACCACATGTAGATCTGATTTTGTTAGAGGTTACAGAAGCAGATTTTAGAATTATTAACGAAAAAACCTTTTTTATTCCAGGAAACAGGTATTTGTATCTATATTATTAAAAGCAGCCTGACCAAATTAAATTCATTCCCTGCGATTTTAAAAAACATAGTTGAACTGTCATCTAAACCAAGCTCAAGTTCAATTATTCCAGGCTCTCCCCAGATCCTTTTTATATCATGTAATTTTCTATCGTCCTTATTGCCAATCAGGCAATATTCTGTCAACAAATGGTAGGCAATATTCTGTAGACATATTGTAGGCAATATCCTGTAGACATATAGTAGGCAATATTCCGTAGACATATGGTAGGCAATTTTCTGTAGACAAATGGTAGGCAAAATTCTGTAGACTATATTCTGTAGACATATGGTAGGCAATATTCTGTCGACATATGGTAGGCAATATTCTGTAGACATATGGTATACTATATTCTGTCGACATATGGTAGACAACATTCTGTAGACATATGGTATACAATATTCTGTCGACATATGGTAGACAATATTCTGTAGACATATGGTATACAATATTCTGTCGACATATGGTAGGCAATATTCTGTCGACATATGGTAGACAATATTCTGTAGACATATGGTAAGCAATATTCTGTAGACAAATGGTAGGCAATATTCTGTAGACATATGGTAGACAATATTCTGTAGACATAAGGTAGACAATATTCTGTAGACATATGGTAGACAATATTCTGTAGACATAAGGTAGGCAATATTCTGTAGACATATGGTAGGCAATATTCTGAAGACAAATGGTAGGCAAAATTCTGTAGACATATGGTAGGCAATATTCTGTAGACATATGGTAGGCAATATTCTGTCGACAAATGGTAGGCAATATTCCGTAGACATATGGTAGGCAATATTCTGTAGACAAATGGTAGGCAATATTCTGTAGACATATGGTAGGCAATATTCTGTAGAAATATGGTAGGCAATATTCTGTAGACATATGGTACATATGGTAGGCAACATTCTGTAGACATATGGCAGGCAATATTCTGTAGACATATGGTAGGCAATATTCTGTCGACATATGGTAGGCAATATTCCGTAGACATATGGTAGGCAATATTCTGTAGACATATTGTAGGCAATATTCTGTAGACATGTGGTACATATGGTAGGCAACATTCTGTAGACATATGGCAGGCAATATTCTGTCGACAAATGGTAGGCAATATTCTGTAGACATATGGTAGACAATATTCTGTAGACATATGGTAGGCAATATTCTGTAGACATATGGTAGGCAATATTCTGTCGACATATGGTAGACAATATTCTGTAGACATATGGTAGACAATATTCTGTAGACATATGGTAGGCAATATTCTGTAGACATATGGTAGACAATATTCTGTAGACATATGGTAGGCAATATTCTGTAGACATATGGTAGGCAATATTCTGTAGATTATATATTTTTGAATATCTGCCTATCACTGAGGGCCGGAGGGCAATATAAGTATTAAAAATAGATAGATAGAAAGTGAGGCAGGTACAGTAAAATCTCCATGCACCGGATTGACTTCTTGTATGTATATACCAATCAGTTTTCCAAACCAAACAATTTTAAATTCCAAATCTAAAAAAACCATGTGTAGGTGGAAGCTGGAGGTGTATGCATGCTCTTGTTCGTCTCCTAGAGATGTTGCTGTTACAGCTCGCAAACAGCTAAGTAAGAAACTCTGAACTTAAAGTTTATTTTAACTTTTTCCTGGTTCTTTTTCGCGGCACATAATGGCACTTATTTGATGTGAGGCTATTCTCTGATTAAATTAGAGCCTGGAATTTTTTATCATCTATGTAAAGTTTTAATTTAGATATTTGGTTGTTTTAAAAAATATATGGATTACGCAAGAATCTTAGATGTCAGATTGATTTGATCACATACCCACTTTGTATCATATATACTATTTGAGAAAGAATTTGTGTATAAGGATATTTTCATCCCAGAAAGTGACCCTCCATGCACAAATGGCTATGATGCCTGAGATGTGATTTTAAAAGCTTAAACCCCAGTAAAACCTGGTCCTTGCGTCTGCTTAGACCCAAGTAAAGCACAAGTCAAGACCTGGATGGCCTTGAGTTTAGTAAAAACCAACCATCTTGGGTTTTTCTCTCTTTAAGGCTCAAGTCTTAAGCCGCTGAGATCGTAAATTCGTAAAATCTTTTATATTTGTACATTTAAAATCTCGAGAATTATTTGTGGTGTCAAATTTTATCAAATATATAAAATAAACATACTACGAACATAATGTTTCTACATTTTCGAAATTTTCATCTCCTTGTCACAGCTGATCTGATGGCATTCTGTCTGCTACAGAGAGAAAGCTTGCTAAATAGTCTCTCATTGGTCGAATCAGAACCAATCCTGACTTGGGTTCTATCTAAGCCCGAGTTTGGGTTCTACTTGGGTTTAAGCTTTTAAAATCTCATCTCTGCTTTACAACCTTTGACTCTACACTACAGTGCATGAACTCAAGACAGTAAATATTAATAAAATTTCTGTAGAATGATAAGGATAAGTCCGACATCCTTGACCAGTCAAAGGTCTGAAGGGTTATGTAAGGAATAAAGCATGCCATTCTTTAAATGGAGGGTCACTTATTACGCTTGTAAATTCCTTGAAAAAGTAAACAAAAAGATTAGATTGTATTGTAAACTAAAGTTGAATAAGGTGAAGTTCCGATATGTTGTCCAGTCGACAGCTACCTAGAGATCAGTGTTTCAAACACATTCAAGTGTGTCCAGGAGACAAAGAACATGGTTAGTAAATCATCTCTAGGAATCTTTGTTTGATCGTTTGTATGTTCCGATCATAACTCAGGATCCCCTAGAGCGATTTGCCTCAAATTTTGATTGGGGCACTCATGAAGATCCATATGGGTTTTTGTGTAGGTTTAAAAACTCTAAGTTTAGTAAGTTCACTTTTTTAGGGAAAGTAAAGTTTCCAGTTAAAGCTGGGTTTCCAAGCTTGTTCATTATCAAGATAATAATTTTAAAAGTTCTTCTTTAAATTTCTTTAGAAAGGGTTTTCACTCAGTTTCGGAACAAATCTGCGATTTTTTTTGGTTCAATCTTCTTTGGATCAATTCTGTGATGAAAATGTCTTAGGGAACCATTCTTGAAGTTGTTCAAATGCAAAACTACTTAGGACTTTTGAAAAAAAATTAAACCTTTTTTAATCAAACTTCAAATCACTGAACCCTATACTAGCTCCACAGTAGAAGGTAGGTGCAATATGCTGAAAAAGGAGAAAACATTGATTTTTTCAGAAACAATTTGATATTGAATAATTGTTCCATAAACTTATATATGCATGTCATACCTAGTTATGTGTACCTCTAGGGGGTAAATACATTTGGAATTTGGTTCTGCCCTTTGTAAGGGAAGGTTATTAGTGATGTTTTTACAGCTTTAGGAAATGTTTTGTAAGATCTTGAGGGTGAAAAATTAAAGCAATTTGATGCAACCCTCAGAATTGATTCTCAGACAGGGTATAAAATCAAATCGATCGTTTTATGTAAATTGTTTTATATAACTTATTTGCCTTTATTTGTCTTTTAATTCAATATAATCTTAATATTTTAATAATTGATATAATGCTAATGGTTTACAGGAAGACCTGTTTGAATTTCCAGTCTCAACCCCCAACTGCACTTGGACAAATAGACATGAATTTGAAGTTATTGACTTGGAAAAAGTTAATCAAAGGTATTTCTATACATTTCTGGGGTGCATATTTTCAGAATTATTTGGAAATAACAGTTATTATTCCATCCTTCCGGTAGCGTCTGATCCAATCAGGGTTCAGTCACATGTTATGATTTTTAGTGACCATTCAGAACCAACAGAAATTGTATTGGCGCTGCGGTAACATCTTTCTTCCTATCTATCTCATCATCCAATTAGAGATAAATTCTGAAATCAGTGCTAAACAGTCAACCGAAGTGAAACTAAAGTGTTCCTTTTTATCAGGAGAAAAATGGAAAATTTACACATTAATGTTAAAATGAGTAACGCCTAATTTGACCAAACTAAAGTGTTTCTTTTTATCAGGAGAAAAATGGAAAATTTACACATTAATGTTAAAATGAATAACGCCTAATTTGACCAAACTAAAGTGTTCCTTTTTACCAGGAGAACAATGGAAAATTTACACATTAATGTTAAAATGATTAACGCCTAATTTGACCAAACTAAAAAAACTCTTCTTATTTATTTTGAGATTATTATTTAATAGTTAATATTTTGGGATTAAAAATATTTTTTTTTGGTTTCAGCTCAGATATCTTCTGTGTTGGAGCAGTCAAACAACATGGAGAATCTGTGTATCAGGTTAGATTTAATATAGAAGCTTTCAGTTTAAAGTTTAATTATGTGGTAAAATTTATACAGTGAAACCGGAGTATAGAATACTGATGGACAGTTTGTACAGAACCCTTATCATTGAACATAAAGGTTAACATGTACATTTAAAGAAGAGGGGGATTTTTGTAGACGGTCATTTTAAGCATGAATGAAAATGCAGAAACCAATTAATGTACATTTGTCAATTCATTTTTCTAACTCCTTGTGCAAAGTTCAAATATTCAAGAAATATTTAGCATATTTAGCAAAATGAAAACCATGACGCAAAACATCGGAAGAATTAATCAAATGTCGTCTTGACAATTTTTCAATGAGTTTTATACTATATTTCGTAAATTTCAGTATTTGCGAAAATAAATAAATAGCCATGAATATGCGGGAACAGTTTTAAAGAGCTCCATATAATCATTTAATTAAAAAACTAAATATCTGCAACATTCCATTATCAGAAAGTGAAGAATACGACATTTGATGAATTCTTTCGATGTATTCGTTATTAAGGGTTTCACTGTAGTTTAGTGTTATGGGCTAGGTTTCTAAGTTTTGTTTTAAAGTTTTGTTTTAGGCTCACTTATGCTTTGTTTTGATATTAAAAATTGATTTTTATAGATTAGAGGAATTCAGTGTCGGTTGGTTTGTGATGGTAAAACACCATGTGTCAGGTATGTTTCCAGTAGAGATGAGCACTTTCGACTGTTTTTCAATTTGTTTATTAATTGTTGTTTAACAGTCCACATTGTTTCTTATCTTTCAATTTGTTCAGTTTTAATTTATGTTTGTTTATTCACTATATGTGTTCATTAATTAAAGTAAATATTAATTTATGTTTGTTTATTCACTATATGTGTTCATTAATTAAAGTAAATATTTTTTCGTTAGTTAAATTTAGGATCATCCTTAACAAATTTTTAAGTTCAGAAAAAAGAAGGACCAGATCTAGTTCCTGGGGATTATTCAATCACAAATTTAAAATTCCAAAAAATTGTTACTAATATTTAAAATATTTAAATGACTATTTAACAAAGAATATAATATTTACAAATTTATCAATTGTCAATTTACTTTATGGTTTATATTTTTATTATTTATTTTATTGTTACTAAAGATTTATTTCTTCAATATATACCCGGTTTTAACAAACCAAAAGGTTTTTAATTTTAATTATTATATTAAAGCATTTTTAAGTCATTGAAATTTTATGTTGTTTTTTGCCATTTTTAACTTTGCCATAAATTAAGGTTTGATTTTCTTGTTTTTAAGAAAAAACTGGATAATTGAAATTATAGTTTACTTCGGATTTTTACAATAAACAGGGTTACATTATCCAACCTGTAAAAACAATGTTTAAATTTTGGTTTTTATGACCCACCTTGATGTAGGCGTTGCGGGAATAATGGTACTTGGTGGGATGACAGTGGATGGTCAATTGATCAAACCCCAGAAGAGAAGGATTATTTTAAAAAGGAATTCATTCCGAATTTTTTTTAAATGAACATTTTGCCAGCATTTTTCAAATTTAGGATTTCCTTTTTTTTCTGTAGTTAACATGGATCAGGAAGACAGGATGCAGGGTTGACACATACCAGGCACCTGACAAGTCAGTACATAAAGTTTGAAAGTTTTTTAATTCCACAATGCTCATGTAAAAATGCCCGATATGCCTAGAGAAAGAAAATTTTGTCAGGGGTATTAAAAATTGTAAAAAATATTTCATAGAATCCCCTGAGTTAGTCTGCCTCATGATATTTTGAAGAGCATGTTTGTGTTTTTACCTATGCAACAAAAACACATTTTCTCATTATCATACAAATGGACCCTTTTATAATACTGCACCGTGACTCATTGCAACTATACCCTTCCTTGCCAGTCACTTCCTTTCAAACTTAAAAGCATATAAACAATTCTGAATGATTTGTCTCACAGAACAACATTCATGTTGAATATGGAATAGTGTCTAAAGATCCTATGGTAAGTATTCATTTGCCCGAGAGCAGACTGAATAAATTGCAAGAGATTGTTAAACTATACCAGAGTCAGTTCAACAACAAATCTTTAATGACTATTTCAACTTGATGTTTAATTTTTAAACTATCCTATATTGACTAAGAGTCAAGTTCTGCTTCAGTCAATAGCTTGATGAACCTGATATTTGTGGCACTCTAGTCGGGTTGAATTGAAGACAAATTCAATCAATTTGGTCCTGGAGCATATATTCTGATCAATTGATTCGAATCCTTCACAATCACACAAATCAATTGTTATAGCTTATAAAAGATAGTTTTACATTAATGAGAGTAATTAATAATCTTTATAAAAAAGTAGACATGGTTTTTTTTTCTGCTCTCATATAGGTATTAGTTTTATTTTTATCTTCCATATCATGCTCATGAATTTGAATTTGAAATTCTAGTTTTTACAAAATTGCCAGAACTAGGGATAGATAACAGAAGAAGAGGAATTAAAATGAAGGAGAGAAATGAAGACAAGAATAATTGGAGTATTTCTGTATTATCTGTCTGTACAAAAATAATAAATGTTAATAAAAATCATTTGTTTATTTAGATGGATATGATGATCTTATATCCCCTGGGATCCTGCTTAGATAAGTTTATTCTTGATGTTAACTCCAGCAGTCTTTACCTACCAGCCAGGTTATTTACAATTGCTTTTAAACTTTTTTAAATGCTTTTTAAAAAGAACTTATCCATTGCAATGTGGATCTTGATCTTGTTTCCAATCTTCTTTGTAATAGGATAGGACTGGACTTTCTATTGCCATAACAATGGTCAGTAGTCCAGATTTGTGTTTTTGGTGCATTCAGATATTTTCTATTTTTGGATTTAGATTCATACATTTGCACATTTATGCGGAGCCAGATCCAAATCCAATCTTACTTTTAAGTCTTCAGTTTATTTTTTTGTCCATCACAACAGAAACAGTTTAAAACTGATTAACTATAATACTTAATGTTAAGAAATACTACATTGCACTATGGAGAATTTTGTCTAGCCCCACGTAATCCAGGAAACAGGAAAGGAGGTTTATTTCTCCAGGTATATTGATTGATTGAATCCAGGTATATTGATTGATTGAATCCAGCTATATTGATTAATTGAATCCAGCTATATTGATTGATTGAATCCAGCTATATTGATTGATTGAATCCAGCTATATTGATTCATTGAATGATTTATCAATTGATCAATTGATTGATTGGTTGATCGATTGGTTGATTAATTGATTAAAATTTATGCTTTTCTTAATCATATTGAAACCATATTTTTTTCATGGTTACAGATTTAGATTGGGGGTTTAAACCTCTTTGCTCAACCAGAATTTAAATTTTTGATTGCAAAAACTGAGGAAGTTTTTAGGGATTTTATGGTTAACGAGGATTAAAAACGTATTTTAAAATGACCTGCTGCACTTTTAAAGTGGCAGGTCTACTTAAAATGATACCTTTTAAACCTGGGTTAGGATGATGCAGATTCTTTTATTCTTAAAGCTGAAAATTGAATTCTGGAGGACTCAAGGTCAAGGTTGCAGACATAGAAATAAGAATATCTATATCCCTGAATAGAGACAGGTTTAAAGGGTAACATTGTAAATGAGGCATGCTCCTCTTTTTTAAATTGAGGGTCACTTTAAGTCCATCAGCTCTACAGTCCCTTCAAGATTTCTTCCTTGTTATTGCATTTGTTTTGTCTCATATTGTATTCAGCATGGTTTCCTTCTGTACATATTAGGATATTATTATATACTCTTCAGGCAAATATGCTGTTAGAGGAGAGCAGTGGAAAAGTACAGAAATATCAAGCATATATTCTTCTAATATCAGTAGTTTGTCTTATTATCACAATCATCGGTAAATACAAATAATAGAAACAAATGTTAAATATAAATATCTAAAGAATGGCCATATTTCATGTAACTCTTCATTTAAATTCTAGAGAGGCCATGTCCATGTCCATGTCCAATTCAGAGCGGTATCATTTTTGTCTGATCAAGAATGCAGAAGATATCCATAATCTTATCTTTGTAAATTGATTATTGTAGTTTCTCTATTAAGAGTTTTGTGGCCATTTAAGAAATTTTGAGAATCAAGCACTTTACAAGCTAGAGAAAATGTTCTACATTATTGACCAGATAAAGTCTGAAAGGGTAACGGTGTGAATTTGGAATGTCTCTCTTTAGATGGATGGTCATTCGAAATTACAACAAAAATCCTATTAATGAAAATAATTACTTTATTTTTTATTTTAGTGTATTCTGTTTTACCGGTCATGCTTAATAACTATTTCAAGGTTAGCAGCTCCTTGGACCAACATTATTATTCGCCTTATTTTATTGAGAACATAGTTACTCCAAAACTTCTAAACTTTTAAAATCTGAAACTTCAAAACTTCAAACTTTATTTAAAACAGGATTTACCCAGGACCTGGCATTGATTAGACACTCATAATGGTCCTTTAACATTTTACATTAGTCTTTTTGTTGTTGACCATATAGCATTTGACCCTATGTCAGTGAATCTTAGATTGACATATAGCTAAAGTACTGCGAGCAAAAATTACAGTATCAATAAGACTACTTGGTTAATCTTTTAGATAATGCTTAATTTTGCAATCTCCATGCTTGCTGGTTTTCTCTCCCTAACAGCAGTAAAGATGAAACCTTGGTTTGCTCATGAATACAGGCAGGATTAGAATTTGATGTCAGCCAAAATTGGTCGTTTGAAATATAGCATGAAAAAAATATTTTAGATGATCGAAATTTGTTTCCCCTTGGCCTTAAAGGGAGTGTTTGCGAAAAATGAAAGGGGGTACAGGGTTAATGCGATAAAAAAGCGCTTTTGATCACTACTAATCTTACTTCTATCTGTTGCGTCAATAAGGAGAAAATTGTTAAAGACGTCTCATACCAAATAACTTAGCGTCCATACAAATTGAGAAAATTGCAACATACGACTTAGACCGTAAAAAATTAATTTAATTTCAAACAAATCATTCAGATATTACAACCTTTAGTCATCGATCATCTTTCGCCACATTTTTTGCGAACACTCCCTTTAAAGAACTTAAATTCTATTATTCTGTAGTGTTGCCACCTGTAAATTTTTGGGATACTTTAATCAGGAATAGATTTAATTTACCTTAGCAGCAGAACTATAAATTACTATTTTTAAGATAAACTTCTTATTGATTAATTTACATCACATATCTATAATTTTCGTCTTGTTTTTTGATCAAAAATACATTTTACATTTTTCACTTTTGTGCTTTTAGATATATTAAGTTTTTAGGGCGCTTCACGCCCATCTTCTATTTCAACTTTTAATTGTGGCTTTATCGGTGAGCATCTTCTCTTTGTACAGTATATAACAAAAACAAAGAAAAGTTTGAGGATTTCATCATATTTTTTTGCGCATTTTCAAAATTTTACAAAAGTGAAAAACTTTTAAACATAAATTTTAAAATTTTTGATCATTCATAAACCTTCCCTGGGGTCACATGAGGTCCCACACAAAATTTGGGCCTGATTGGTTCAGCCGTTTTGTCGTTTATTGGACAAAAAAAAATAGACAAGACAAGCGAAAGGAATTGAGTTTTTGCCACAAACTCTGATTTTATAATTATTATATCTTTTCAACCCTATGTTGTAGACCTTAGATTTTTCAAACTGTGAATTATGTTGGATCACATAATCTAAGTTTGAAATATCAAAGGGTTACAACATCAGGTTGCAAAGATAAAAAGATTAGAAAACCAGAGTTTGTGGCAAAGACTAAATTCCTTTATATATCTATTTTAAGGATACATTTTTTTCCTGCAAATTTTAATTATCTGAATTTCATTTTCTGGAACATTTAGTATTTTCTTGTTTTTCTAAATTTAAGCTATTTTTCTGAAGTTTTTTCTGATTGCAATGTTCACCTGGATGACCATGATGAGCTATGAAATTTTTAAACAGATAAAGGTTAAAAAACTAATATAAGCATGATAAAAAATCAGTCATTTTCTTTCTCTTAAAGAACAGGACATATTCTCTCAGGGCTGTTGTGTTAGGTAAAATCTACCAAATTGCTAAATTTAATTATTTAATCTCCTGTTCAACGAAATGACCAACCTTAAATTCCCTCCTTTTTTAATTCCAGGGAGGATAATTACTTATCCTCCCTATTTACAGGGAGGATAATTACTTATCCTCCCTCTGTGATCCATACAGATTTAATTCAAGATCTAGATCAAAAAATTAAATATTCTTCCATATGTATTAGTAAGAAATAAGAGAATTAAAATCATAATTGATAGTTTTATTGATTTCATTATTATTTTATCCCCCACGGTTGGTTATTTCGTTGAACAGGAGATTAAACGATAAATTACTACTTAACCGGGAGTTTTCATGAGGATAATTAAATTGAGGGGAAACCACTTAGCCTTGGGCCTCCTCGACCTTTTTGGGGTTCTAAACCTCCCTCGCTACGCTCGTGAGGTTTAGAACTCCAAAAAGGTCTTGGAGGCCCTCGGCTAAGTGGTTTTCCCCTCAATTTAATTACCCTCCCTTAATCTCTCGGTTAATTAATTAATTAATAATTATAATTATGAGAGGGTGAAAAAAGGTCTGAATGGAAGAAAAAAAGAAACGCAATAAAATGTTTGATAACAGTTTGATTTTTTTTCATTAATATCCTTTATCTTCTGCCGTAGAATAAGATTTTTTTTAAACTTCTCATGTATAATATTTGTTTCAAAACCAAAAAAAAACTTTAAAGATCATTCCACAATAGACTTAAGCTAGTAGGGTAAGTCAATAGGTACAAGGAGTAGGTTCGGTTTGAATTAAATTTTACCTTATTCCTTCGTAATATTGTCTGTCTACAGGGTAGGGATTATACTGAAAGAGAGTAAGTGCATAGAAAGCATAGTAAGTCAAATATTCTTTTACTTTTTTTTTGAGCCCCATTGTAAAAGTCCTCGTGATAAACACTAGCCTAAGAAGCTTGTCAAATCTGTGAGATCTTTATTATAGGGACTAAAGCAGAAGATAGGCCGTGGAAACCTAAAGCAGTTGACTAAAAAGCTAATGGTTGGATATGGTGTTCCCTTTTTAATAGTGTTTTCTGCTGTTGTAGGTATGACAATGACAAAGTACACATTTAAGTTTAAGGGAATTCTCAAATAATCATTAGACATAATTTTCACAATTTTAACGTTTGCTATTGTTTATTTAATCAAAACAAAATGTGTTCTGCTAAATTTTGAATACTCATAAAATATGAAATATCAAACAAAAATAAATTCTTAAATCTAATTTTTTTAAGTTGATTTTTCTGCGGAAGGAACTGAGGAAGACTGTGGACTTCTCCGCCCAAAGTTTGGAATTAGGTCAATACATAGAAGACAGTTGTAAGAGAATGACAAAACTTTTAAATTCTAACTAAATCTGAGCTCAAGGTTCTGGTCTCAAATAAACAAGTTAAAAGCATAGAAGATATTTTATTTATCTTTGAAACTGACACAATATAAATCTTTAAAAACTAAGTACTAGGAAGAACATACATGAATATTCTGGTCATAGGAAACTATTATGTGAATTATCAAAATTATCAAAATTCAATGCTTTTAACCTCCTCGGATACTAAACAAACACTGAGGCATCTATTCTTGTTTACAAATTCCCCACAGAGAGAACTGGTTTCAATATGTACGCAGAGGATATGTAACTGCAATTAACTTTCATTGCATTACATTCTTGCGTATTGTCAGCTATCATAGATTATACAAAAGTCAGAGAATAAATTTACTGCTCTATTTTAAAATTTTGTTAAAATCAAGATTAAAAAATAAATGTTAAGAAATAATTCCAATTAAAAGTATAATAAATATTGGAATTCTTTCCCCTAAAATGCTACATACTTCTTATATATTGTTAGTGCAATTTTTAAGTAAAGGATTATTAAAACATATTTCTAATATAAAATATTTTAGGTTTTGTACATTCAATAATCGTGATGATAAATTTTTCTGGCTTCTTCTTCCAATTCTCATTATGCTAATCCTCAACACTCTTATGTTCATCTATATTGTTACAGAAATATGCAGGTTAAGAGGAAGATCTGAAAACATTTAATAAACCATATCAATTTAACAATCAATTTTAAAACTTTTAAAATGCACTTTAAAGTTAAAAGGGAATTCAAAGTGACTTCCATTTAAAGAGGAGCATGCTGGTAACTGTTAAATCTGATCAATGTTTTAGAAGACATCATCCTTTTTTTGCTTAAAAAGTTTTTAATTCTAAAAATTAATGCATTGTTCTACCTGCACTGATATCTGGAAGTCACTTTTATCATTTGATAGAGAATTCAATATTAAAATATATCTAGGTTTAATTAGAAACACATAGATTAATTTGTATAACCTTTGTGAATCAGACATGGCACTCTATAAATGAAGAGTCACTTTTTTCTGTTGATAAGATTTTGGAATTGGTAATTTTTTTCTGATATTGTCCTTTCTTACATGTGTTTTCATTTTGCTTTTAGGAAAACAAAACAGTGAACTGTTAAACCTTATATGAGATTTCAGGTTTATGTAACAATGCACATTTTTAGAAATGCTTCAGTGCGTAATGATTTCCGATCTGGAGGAGTGAATAGGAAGGAACAGATTGATAAAATGCTTCTCTATCTAAGGTTTCCCCCTTAAAGACATCTTGTTTATTTACACTTTAGACATATTTCTAAGAATAAAGAGTTAAAAATCTTGTGACTATTTTTAGACTGTTCTTTGGTATGGGATTTGTTTGGTATTTTGAGATTTTGAGCTTCCTACTGGATACACCAAACTCAGGTTAATCTTTTTTTAGATTATATATTTTCCAAACAATTATCCTATAATTAGTTCAAGTATTCATTCCTCTCTCTTATCTTAATGAAAAAGTATAAAGTCACTGAACCACACAGAAGTGCATAGTAAAGAACTGGTTCAACCATGTCTCGCTATTGTATTGGAACTGCCTAATGTTGGTTCAAATTTTAATCACTGTTTCAAATGCTTTCTCAATCTTTAACTTTGAATCAGTGGTTCTAATTGGAACAGTGCAGCAAGGTAGTTGAAATTCATTAAATTAAACTTAAAGAGCTCTTCCTAATTCTAATTGTTTTTAGACTGGACTTGGTTCCCTGATACACTCAACATGCTACAGGTTTTTAAAGAATAAAATCTTCCCAGGAGCTTGTTTTAGTCTTCAAACCAAACTCTGCTTATAAATGGTTTAACTCTAAGAATGTAAAGTCTAGTAAATTTCCGGATTTTACATGAATATAAGCATTTTTTATCAGTTGCTCACAAGTAAAGAAGTAAGTGAAAAAATAAAAAGATATTTTGATTTGTTAACTACTTATATTTTGAAATTTATGTATCATAATATTTTAAAGATTTAACCTATAAAAATAATTGAATTATTTATGCTTTTAGTGGTATGATTTACATTTACTCTTTGCCCTTGGTCATTAAGCATTTTAAACCATTTACTCAGAAGCTACAAATATAAGTACATTTAGTAGTAATTGAATTCAAATTTGATTTAGCCCATCTCACTTTTTCATTTTCCGCAAACACTCCATTTGACTATCATAAAGATTTAAAATTAAAACGTATTTTGTATAGGGAGTATGGGTCTTTATTACATTTGTGTGCAAGCGTAATGTTTTGAATATAATCATGAAGAAAAAAGATCGTCTCTATGTTTCCCTTCGACGCAGCACAATAGGAGACAATGGAGAAATAAAAGGTTAAAATCACTTCTCATTTAATCAGATTTTCAAAAAATATCTAAATTTGTTTTTATAATTTTTCTTTTTCAGTTAAACTATCTGAAATAAGAGGCCAGGTAATGATGACAATTAGAATATTTTCTTTTCTCCAGTTCTATAATTCTCAAATAGATATCTAATTGATTAAAAATCAATAAGATAACTGATTGCAAAAAAATCTGTTAACTACAGGAGAAAAATTAAAATAAAACAAAAAGTAGAATTATTGTTTTAAACCCTTTTTACTTTTTTGCTATATATCCCGCTAATATATCTTTGAAAAGATGACCTTGTTTGTTGTGTTAAGAAAGAAGTGACCTCTGTTCTATCTACCAGAGTAAGTGCTTCCATCTATGATCTTGATCCATCAACTACCAAGAGTCAAAAACAGCAGCAGCAGCAGTCACAGCAGCAGCAGCAGTAGCTGCTGTCACAGAATCAGTTGCAATAATGACTTTATAGATGTTACATTGTTACATTGTAAACATATATACTTGTAAATACACATAATACCTTGATTTTATATCTAGTCTATATGTATGACACTTTCATTATGGTCCTATGTTAGTCCTATGATATGACTACAAGAAAAACAATTTGACAGCTGCAAGGAACCATGCACATTGAATTAATGGAAGATAATAAACTAAACAAATTCTATACAGTCCATTGTCTCTGAAGCCCCATCCCTTGTAATTAAACCTTGTAATTGGTTGTATATCTTAGAAAGACGGTGGTATAAAAACATATAGGAAAAATTTAAAACCAGGTATAACTTAATGATCATGATACTTTGCACCAGAAAATATAAATAATAAACTTTTTCTGAAACGGCTTTTACTTATTAAGTGTTTGTTCATAACCCAGATATAAGCTATCTAAAATTGAACCATGTATTCGAAAATAAAAAGGTAGAGAAAGACAACATTTTAAAACTGTAAAACTTTAAAATCTCAAATTCTAAATACTGATTATTGATTTATACTTATCACCAAATGAGAACTAACATGACTTGATTTTAAAGTAATCTTAAAACCTTAGTATGATCAAAATGAATTATATTTGTATTTGCTATCTCAAAACCAAAATTATTTCTGATTGTGGTTCTCTATAAAAAAAATCACTTGTTGATTTGTGAGGTAAAATTCAAAAACTGAAAGACCTAGATATCTTTCTCATTATTAAACCAAAAAGGGCTAAATGGTACATGGCACTCTACAAATAGATGGTCATTTTAATTATGAGAAAAAATGGTAAAATTTAAATGCTTTGAGCACAACTTTAAGACTAAAAACTGGTTGAATCGATTGAAAATAAATTTATTGGATTTATCAAATTTAAAAGGCAAGAATGCAAGGAGGAATAGGGTTGGGAATCAACCTCATAGCCGGATCGGAAAAAAACGCCGATCTGGTCAAGTTGTAGCATTATTATGCACTGAACATGTTGATTTAAGAATGCATATATAGGACGGTTAAGATTTGTAACTATTGCAATTGTTGTGAAATATCTTGAACCTTAATTACGTAATCTTATGTGAATGTGTGAAGATTGATTGAATGAAAGAGATCTGGAGATGCATGTCTCTAAATGCTAAGATAAGATTCTTCAAATCAACTAGGTTTGGTAACCTTGTGGTAATTCAAGTTCTCCAGAACCTTGAGATCATTAGCTTTGGTAGGATGGTCTAAACACATCAAACCTTGGAGGGTTCCCGAAAGTAAATCTTACAGAAGAATCTTTGTAGTCAATTGGTTCAACCCGTTTCAGATCCTAAAATAAGATAATGTTTAGGAAAAATATCTGAAATTATGAAATTATTTTACATGAAACAAAAATTCTGCAATACATTATTTTAACTGATAATATTACATTTATATCATACTTGTGAGGAACATAAGTACTTGATTTTTTGAGGTTTTTGTTTCTTAACCCTATCTCTGCTGGGGTACTTGAAAACCAGGATATGCTGGGGGGGGTCAATTTGACCCCCCCCCTCTAAATCCCATGTTTGATGTCCAAATATAACAAATGATACATCATCGGAAAGCTCTTGTGCTCTACTTTTAGAATCTGCAAAAAAAAATTGCAAATTTGCAAAAATTGAATTTTTTATCGCAAAATCCAGTTATAAAGTAAAAATGTTTGCAAAAAAAAATTTGTCAAAAAATAAAAAATTATACATTTTTGAAAAGCTCATGCCATTTCAAATATGCAAAAAGTTTTGTAAAATTTTAAATAACCTAATTTTTAATCAAGGAAAACTAAAAATGTGCAAATTTTCAAAAAATTTGAAATTTTCTTTTCGCAAAACTTGTGCAATTCGTTTTCTTATGTCAAAGGCTTTCTAAAAAGCTAAATTTTATCAAAATCTGACAAGTGGAAGTGGGTCAAAACAAAGATTTAGTTTGTTACAGGAAAAAGCAGTCATTCAGGCAGTGTGCCTTAGGACTCAGGCAATTAGAATTAAAGCCTGGTTTTAGGCCTAAAGGGAGGGCTTTGAGTATGTAGGAAAAGTCAGAAAATTTCAACAGCCTAAGACAAATACTTTTAGAGTTATGTAAAAAAAAAAAAAATTGACCCCCCCCCCAGCAGGAATAGGGTTAAACTTATATGAAACCAAAAGGAAATAATAAGGTTATATAAAGAAATAGGTTTAATTTCGCATATCTAGATGGAGTCATTTAGTGACCTAGAAAACAAATCTCATGTTACATCTACTCAATTACCTTCTTCTCCTCTGCTAGATGCTGCTCAAACCTCTCCAATTTGAATTCTTCTTCCACAGTCGATAACATAGGTACATGTTTCATGCTCCAAAATATCTGTTAAAAAAAACTTAAACAATAAAAAATCTTTGATTTCTAATTTTATAGAACTGACAGATTATCTTTAATACAAGGAGAGATGTAAAAATAAAAGAGCATATCATAAATAATTGAATCTAACCTGTGGAGTACTCTATTCTAGAGCATTTGAAACCTCCTAGATTTGGCTAGAGTTAGTGATATTATCTAAAATAAAGTATTGAGCACACTAATTGATAGTTTTACAATTGAAGACGATCGAATGGTTTTGCTTCATTCAGAGTAAAACCATCAAAGATAAACTGAACAAATCATCTGAAAGCCAAAAAAGCAATAAGTAGGTATGCATTATCATATATATAATTGTTGACGGATATTTTCAAGAATTTCAAGATGAACTGATATTGAACCACCTTTTCAAAGAAAATCGATAACAAAGAATTCTCTTTATTTCCTGAAAAAAATGTACAGATAACTTGAACAATATTATAATAAATGTTTATATTGAAAAAATCCTTACGATCTAATGGCAGATGATAAAGTGGAAAACTGTTGTTGAACAGTTCTGAAATAAAATGACAATTGATTATTAACGAAAGTCACTAATTCTTTATATGAAAATATTCTTTGTTTAGCTTTGGAAAATGGATTCACAATGCTCTAGATTGTTTACGACTCCGTCAAGGGAGAACAAAGAAAAAGGAGGTTAAAATTGTTTGGTTTGGTTTTGGTGTCTCCGAGAGGGGATCTAAGTTAAAGACGACTTTACACAGAGCATAGTTAATGGTTGACAATAATACGTATGTTACACAACACTATTTTGTGTTTCATAATTACCTAATTAACTAATGAAATAAACTAATGGATCCAAACAGGGCAAAATCTTATAATCTAGAAAAAGTCGTTAATAAATATATAGAAAATATTCCAACAAAGCGGAACAAAGTTGACATTAATACCAAAGAAATAAAGTCTCTAAATAAATTTAGAAGACTGAAGACATCTTATGTTAGAACAATAAAGAATTTTCTTGCTTAAAATCGAAGAAAGATGTATTTTTTCTGTTCATAGTTTTGCAGAGCTGTGTGGATACTCCTCCAATATTCTCCCCTTTTCTGAGATATGCAAATTACTCACTAAAATTAATAGTGCGCCGTTCTATTTTCCTTTTTCTCTCTCCTCCGATCCTCATTTTCTTTGCTTTAAATTTTTTGTATTTTTTTTTGTTCAGGGCTTATCATTTAAAACAGCCTTTATCGACTAGATAAGTTCCGACTATTATGTATTGTAAGTATGCATATAATATTTGTTTAGATAATTATCATAAGTAAAAAATAATAAGAAGAAATTATCCTTCAAGATTTTAATTTACACAACAATCGCTGGAGTGCCCGGTGTTGCCCGTAGAATTAAAAAAAAGAAGATTTTTGATTTTTCAGCCTGTTCGGTCCAGCCTTTTGGACAGCTATAGCTGACATATGTGATGGGCGGATTTTTGGTAACTAATAATTTGGTAACTAATATTTTGATAACTAATATTTTGGTTACTAACAATTTGTTAACTAATAATTTGGTAACTGACAATTTGGTAACTAGCAATTTGTATAATTGAAACTTACATTTCACAGTCATTGTTTGTATATTTATTTACTGAGGACTAATGTTTTGTTAAAACAAACGTCGTTTTCCACTTTTTTCTGTTTTTAACAATTTTCGTCCTCTTTTTCCACTCATCTCTGCAGACCACTGTATTCTTTTAACAAAGGTCGTCTACGTTTTTCCCTTTTTCTGCGGACCACTGTACTTTTTAGCGCTTGGCCCCCTAACCTGTACTAGCCGCAGCGCTAGGCCCAGAAATGGTCTTAACCTAACCTAAGCTTACATATTGGATATCATTTTATTATTTTCAATAAATAAGGCCACAACGCTCGACCTCCTACCCTTATTTCTCACATTTCATGAAATTTGATATTTTTTTCAAATATTGAAGAAAATTCCCAACTTCGGTAGTTGGCGGGGACGCCCAAGTCGCTCTCGAAGACGGGACGGGACTGTCTTGGTTTGATGAAAAAATGACGATATCTTCCTCATTGTTGCTCAGATGAATAACAGGCGCGTACACTGGATTTTAGCCAGGGGGGGCAAGATTTCGCTTGAAGCGCAAAAAAAAATGTTTGCCCCCCCCTGGCTGTTTTTTGCATCCCCCCTGGAATTGTTTTGTTCAAAAAGTCAATTAACACCATAAAAATACACCAAAAAGACTACATTTTTGGGTGTTACTAACCTTATAGAGTCTAAAATTTATTTCTTTGCTCGAAAAACTAACTTTAACTTTTTAACTTTATAAATTTATCACTTAACTCCATCACAGCTAACTAAATCAATAATCACAGCATCATTAAAAAATCATATTTTCACTGAAAAACGAAATTTCTTCTGAAATTTTTAGATAGAATTTACTCCATCTACATATTCACCAACTCTTTTAAGCTTCAAATTTCTTGGATTTGCTTGCACAAACATTTCAATGATTTTCTCAGTAGTGAGCCATAAGTGCAAGATCGTTAAGTCTGCTCTCGTCATAGTACATCTTGTGTAATGAAGTATTCTCTTTAGAAGGCTAAAACTTCTCTTTCCTTCATTCAATGTTATTGTCATCATTGCATAAAGGGGAACTTGAAATTACGCTTGATATCTCTTAATGGAAATAAAGGAGAATAGAGTCACAAACTCTGATTTTCTAATCACTATATCTTTGGAACCAAATGTTGTAAACCTTAGATATTTCAAACTATGAATTCTGTTAGATCAAATATTCTGAATTTGAAATATCAAAGGTTTTCAACATCAGGTTCCAAAGGTTTAAATATTTGAGTTTGCGCCAAAGACTTTATTAATTGACTGTAAGAAAAAATAGAAAAATAGAAAATTGAATAACTTTATTACATCTTCCATCATGTTATAAGCATCTAATATGTCGAGGTCTCGTTTTTGCAAAAGTTTTAGTTTTTCCAGGGGGGGTGGCAGGGCCCCCCCCTGGAACTCCCAGGGGGGCAAGAGGACTACCGCCCCCCCCTATGTACGCCACTGATGAATGAGTAAAGGTTGTTTACGATGATGCAACTCACTTGATATGAAGGTCTATAGTTCCTTTAAAGTCTCATGTGTAGTGTATACCTCTGTATGGGAAAGAATACACTTCTGTTTCTGTAAATCTGATCTCCCGACCTGTAAAGACCTTTTATACACTATATACTATACAGCTTCCGGTCGGTGGAAGATTGATACATTACTCTACAGTCTACACCTCCCACTTTCAGGGACGAATATAGAAATTCATTAAGGTTGAGAGAAAATATATCCTGCTCTCCCCGAAACATTTCTTGTTACCCCTGGGGTTAGGAGCATTAAGGGTGATAAATATTGGAATCAAGCAAACCGCCCACCGGGGGTTGCTACGTTTTCACTTAAAAAAAATTGCAATAAAAAAATTCAAAATCGTCAATACGGTTGCGGATTAACGATTTAATTTTGGAGAAATCAGCGTACGGCCAAAAAAATGAAAATTTGAAAAATTTCGTATTTTACAGCATTTTCTTGCAAATTTTATGCTGAATTCAAATCTGAAAAGCGCTGTTTAAAATATTAAAAATTAAAGAAGTTATAGCCAAATAACGGTGCAAAAATCTTTTTTTTTAAACTCATTGATGTTTTTGTTGAGTTTTCTAGCTCTGACTCAATTAATTTTTATTCTTTTTAAATTTATTCTTTACAGATTTGAATTCAGCATTAAATTTCCAAGAATATGATGTATAACATGCATGAAATTTTAAAAAAAAAGTTTTGGGGGTGCAATTCCGAAATTAAATCGTCAATTGCAACCGTATGGATTATTTTTAAATTTTTTTATTGCAATATTTTTATTAAGTGAAAACGCAGCAACCTCTGGTTAGCTAACTTCTAAAATGATTGAGCGCGAAACCAAAACTTAACAAAAATAAAATATACCATCTAATCTTGAGTCTGTATTAGTTAGATATAGGACTAGCCCATGAAAAAAAATGTAAAAAATAAATTTTAATTACAAGTTTGGATTTTTTATAGCCTATAATACTCCCTGGCCACCCCCTGAGTGTCCACAAAAAAATTCAGCCCAATTTGTCCAGCCGTTTGGCCGGCTATACGCAACATATATATATACGAATGTCTTGTTTTATTATTTAACTAATTGAATATTGGAATTTCAGAATTTTCTCGCTATTTTCCGTAGCTCATCCCTACAGGCTAAAGCTTCACCCTCAGGGGTGAACGGCTGCTCCACCATGGCTCCACCGCTCCATGGCCCCTTTATCCATCCCCTGAGTCCCCCATTCACACCTCCTTTTTTATCATAAAGATTTTAAAAACAACATTTTTAGAACGACTTAGAGATACACATTACACATAAATATTTTTCAGTATTTTCAAATTTGAAAATCGTGGACTTTCAAAAACCGCTTAATAAGGCATCAAAATTATAACATTAAAATTGAAATTTGTTTCCTTCGTTTTGATAGACAAATCCAACAGTAATAAGTGTTGCAAATCGGAAAATTGAAAGTGAAAATGGGAAAGAGAAATGGATTGTTTTAAAAAGACAATTTCAATTTCAGTCGACAATTTCAAAGTAGCATGCCGGATTCACAATTTCAGAGTAGCATGCCAGATTCACAATTTCAGAGTAGCATGCCCGATTCACAATTTCACAGTAACATTTCACAATTTCAGAGTAGCACGCCGTATTCACAATTTCTCAGTAGCATGCCGGATTCATAATGTCAGAGTAGCATGCCGGATTCACAATGTCAGAGTAGCATGCCGGATTCACAGTTTCAGAGTAGCATGCCGGATTCACAATTTCAGAGTAGCATGCCGGATTAAAAATTTCAGAGTAGCATGCCGGATTCACAATTTCAGAGTAGCATACCGGATTAAAAATTTCAGAGTAGCATGCCGGATTCACAATTTTAGAGTAGCATGCCTGATTCACAATTTCAGAGTAGCATGCCGGATTCACAATATCAGAGTAGCATGCCGGATTCACAATTTCAGAGTAGCATGCCGGATTCCCAATTTCAGAGTAGCATGCCGGATTCACAATTTCAGAGAAGCATGCCGGATTCACAATTTCAGAGTAGCATGCCGGATTCACAAAGGTACCCTTTGGAGTTGTCGTTTTCCTATCACATTTACCTTCATTGTTACTTTTTCAGAGAACCACGATTCAAAGTTATCAACTTTTAAACAGAAAAACAAGAATATTTTAGTCATTTTTAAGCATTCTATAACTGTAATTAACATGATGAACCGTCCCTTTAATTTATGATAACAGTTCCTTCAATTTAGGATAAAAGTCCCTTTAATTTAGAATAACAGTCCCATTAATTTAGGATAATAGTCCTTTTAATTTAGGATAACAGTCCCTTTAATTTAGGATAACAGTCCCTTTCATTTAGGATAACAGTCCCTTTCATTTAGGATAATAGTCCTTTTAATTTAGGATAACAGTCCCTTTAATTTAGAATAAAAGTCCCTTTAATTTAGGATAATAGTCCTCTTAATTTAGGATAACAGTCCCTTTAATTTAGGATAACAGTCCCTTTCATTTAGGATAACAGTCCCTTTAATTTAGGATAACAGTCCTTTTAATTTAGGATAATAGTCCCTTTAATTTAGGATATTAGTCCTATTAATTTAGAATAATAGTCCTTTTAATTTAGGATAATAGTCCCTTTAATTTAGATATTAGTCCTTTAATTTAGGATAATAGTCCTTTTAATTTAGGATAATAGTTCTATTAATTTAGGATAATAGTCCTTTTAATTTAGGATATTAGTCATATTAATTTAGGATAATAGTCCTATTAATTTGGGATAATAGTCCCTTTAATTTAGGATATTAGTCCTTTAATTTAGGATATTTGTCCTATTAATTTAGGATAATAGTCCTATTAATTTAGGATAATAGTCCTTTTTATTTACGATAATAGTCCTTTTAATTTAGGATATTAGTCCTTTAATTTAGGATAATAGTCCCTGTAATTTAGGATATTAGTCCTTTTAATTTAGGATAATAGTCCCTTTAATTTAGGATAATAGTCCTTTTAATTTAGATAATAATACTTAATTAATTAAAAATTAATTTAGATAAATATTTAAAAAACATAAAAAGTTTTTGACAATAAGTTTATTGACACTTTTTATAGTTAAACTAAAATGTGACAACTTGTTTGACACCCAATGTAAAGGACATGTCTTGTAATCTACAAGCCAATGCATGGTTACCAAAAGGGCAGAAGTTTTATTGTTTTTATTTTCGTGAAATAGGTTTTGTTTATTATGCTTTTTTTTTTTTAAGAATCTTAATGCAAAACTTTGTTTCTAATTGATTAAGCACAAAATATCAACAACAGTCGAAGAAAGTCTGTGCAAAATAAATATATTCCACCAATAACTATTTTCACACAAGGAAGTACAGGATAAAAAGGATACAAGTAAACGTGAGTTATTCAAAATATTTCGAATACTTCACAAAACAGTATTTTTCAACTAATAATGTTGCATAAATCAAATTATTTAATCTTGAAAATATATTTTTTAAATTATATTTTTATGAGACTATATTTATCCCTGTAGTCGGTGTGTAGTGTACACACTGCTTGATTTCAAGGATTTCAGTCTACAGTCGACTACATTACAAGCGACATCTATATTGAACAATATTTATACTTTCTCTCAGTAATATATTGACATTAAACGACGGTGGTTATTGTTTGTTAAAAAATAGTGATACTAAGTGAATAAAGAAGTGTTTATAAGTAAGTTAAGATTTAATTAATTTTGAAATGGTTTGGATAAACCAAGGGTGGGGTCGGTATCTGAACGATATGATATAGTATAAAATTAATATTATTGTTTTAAAGATACGTAATTCTTGTGGTATATACAGTTGGTCAAATTTGATTAAAAATACAACAGTACGGAGATACAAAATTATAAAAATACAACAGTACGGAGATACAAAATTATAAAAAGTAAATTTAAAAGTGAAAATTGCATATTGTACGCAAACGTAGACTAGATTAGATACGCCACCTGCGTAAAATTACACTGGTGTATTGGATTTTTTAAATTGCGTCATTTGCCATATATATAAAGGGTCAGAATGCGTAGGACGCACAGTGGGGGGGGGGGCTAAGAATGTCAAATGTTGTACTTTTATGGCTGCGTCATTTATTGAAAACAACTTTGTCATGAACTCTTTTAATTGACCCCTAATTAAGAGTAATTAAGCATTTAATGATGTTTTTATTTAGACCAAATAAGGAAACGTAGTTCTGTATAAAAAAGTTGTAAAACAATAATCAAAACAAACGTTGAATTATTTTTAACATTTAAATGTTTAACATATGTTTATTGTGCATCTATAAAGAATAATAAAAATTCAAACATAAATGATAATCATAGTTGAAATTAAGGATCCAATAGACAAAAATAAGATAAATGTGGCATGTCGGATTCTCAACGGTACCTTAACACAGCTTTTGGGGGGAGGGAATTTTCTGCAAAAGTGACTTGCAGAATTATGCAGCGGAGACGATGAATTAAATTGTCAGAATTCAACACTTTTCGAGATATCTTTGTCATTTTAAACAGATAAAGATTTAAAGGGGTACCTTTGAGAATCAGACATAAATGAAGGGTTACTTTAAACTACGCTTGCACCTCTGACCCTTTAGTAAAAGTAAATTCAACCTGAAGTTTGACCGCGTCAACCTTGTGTCCGACGTTGGGTTTAAACTATGTCAGGCTGAAAACCTTCACCTATAGGGGACTGTGATGGCATACCCCTTGTAGTTCAAGGAGCTGTTGGACGCATCCCTAGCTGTATGATATGATATGATATGATATTTACCCAATGTCCGGGGGATACAGTACAAACTGGGACTGGAAAGGTTGACCCGGCTCGGAAATTCAAATGTACTTCGGCTGCCCGTGTATGTTTGCAGTTCTTTTAATATATATTTTACAGCGGAAATTAAAAGCCCCAAAATATGCTGAGTTTCTATTGTAATCTAATTCTAAACACGTCCTGTTTATAAAACAATAAAAACAATGTACGAGAACTTCAATTGTTTGTTTAAAAAATGTCTAAATGTGTAAACTGTAAATTGTTGTTAAGAATTTGTTTTCAAAATCTTGGCATTTAGTGTGCAGTAACAAAAAAGGGTTATTCAAATTTGAATTAAAAAATGCATTAAATGCCAATATTGAAAGATAAAAGTTTATAGATTTTCATTGGAAAAAGAGGCGCGGATACCCTGAACTTCATCATTGACCAATCCATATTTATATACTTATATATGTATACATCTCATTATTTCCTAGTTATGAACTTGTGTAATAATTTTGAATACTAATTATTATTTTGAAGAGTGGTGCACGGAGTTTAACGAAGGTTATACATTAATATATATATATATTTATGAAGAATATATCTACAACTAATGTAAAGATTTATAATATTATACATATATATTTATTATTCATATAAATATATATATATAT